TCTTTGTTTTCAGCTCATTTGAAAGTTGTTTTGAGACTCCCATGCTGTGACTCTTCAGAGAAGATGCAAAGAGGAGAAAAACCTACAATTGCCACCCTTAAATGCACTTTCTCATAATTGGAGTCACCTGTGTTTGGAGGCCAAGGGTCACTGAACTTACCAAACCAAATTTAAGTTGCAATAATTAGTTCTAAAGGTTTTGAAATCAATAAAAYGGCAACTGTGCCCAAATTTATGCACCTGCCCAATTTTGTTTAACCAATTATTGCACATTTTCTGTAAATCATATAAACTTCATTTCACTTCTCAAATATCACTATGTTTGTCCCCATATTATATATTTAACAGATTTTTCTATCCAAACAATCAATGATTTATAAAGGTAAATCAGGAAAATTAACAAGGGTGCACAAGCTTTCGCACCCCACTGTATATAATTTTATGTTGATGGTCCACATAAAACAATCATCTCAAAACAAACAAAAATATCTAAATTGGCAACATTAATGTTCATTTTTCTGCCTTTCTGTTTTTTTCTTCCTCTATATTCCTCCTCAATGGGAATTAAATGTTTCTGCAGGTGTTGATCCAGAGTTCAGATTTTTCTGGACAACTCGAGGCCGATGTCTGAAAGGACGTGCAGGTTCTCCTGGGTTGTCACACATCCTGCTCCGATCTGATCAGATCCAGGATCACCTGGATGGTTGAGTCATCTGCAAAAAGGATCAAAGAACACATCAGACCCCCCCAAAAAAACAACAACCCGGTGTTGTAGAAATATCTGGTGACGGCCCCGCTTTGAAAATATCTAGCACCGAGAAAAAATGTTGGCGATGACCGGGTTTACCTTCGAGATTCATCCTGGGGTTCTCCAGCTTCTTTTCCAGCAAGGAATCCATCAGTTTCCTCAGATGTTTGAAGATCACACCAATTCGTACTGGAGCCTTGAAAGCAGCAAACAAAAATATTTTAATCCACAAACTAAAAAAATGACAGACATAAATATCATTTTGACGGTTTAAAGCTGACAGATCAAATTTTGTTTTACATAAAATCAAAAGTATTAGCTCTTTATCTGTACATGTTTAAAGAACTGAAACCCTTCTGATATGATTCCTGTGTGTACAATCACCGCTGGGCCACTGTAGCTCTGTGACCTCTGACCTGAAAGTGGATCCATCCGTCTAACGTGATGAGCTTCTCCCGGTGCTGAATGTCGATGTCGCCTCCGAACAGCAGCAGAGGGAACGGAGGAATCAGGGTCGTGTCTCGCAGGTAGATCTTAGTGTATTTAACCTGAGGAGGAGCTTTCCTTAAAACGATTGCAAACAACCGATTAATAGAAAAATACCAAGAGCGCTCGGATCTCCTCTACCTTCTCCTGGTACAGCAGCCAGCCATGTGTCTGCAGGTTGCGGTTAACGGATGAAGGGTGGACCTGAGCCTTGCCCTGAGGCGTCTCCACGGTGCACGCCACACGCTCCAGCCCGTCCACCGAGGGCTTGCACAGCAGCCGGGCCACGCTGTCGTACAGCCCCGCTGACAGCGCTGCCAACAGGACCGAGATGTCCTGCCGGGACGGCGGGTCTGCCCGCCGCTTCGGGCGGGAGGAAGAGGAGCGGGACGACCAGAAACCTGCCTGCTCCATCATCTTCATCAGCTCGTGCTTCACGTCCTGATTGAAAGACGGAACATGTGAGATCATAAAAGACTGAGAAAATGGTAACAATTTGAAATTACCTCTATTGTGATGAGAGCTGTTCGATTGAGGAAATGTTTCCTGCAGTAGGACAGCTCTGTCCTCAGCCCCTCAGCCTGTGAGTTCTTCCACCTAACAAGGTTTAAAACAGCACAAGATGATGGAACAATTACAAAAAGTGAATCCTACCAACAGCAAAAGTTTGTTTTTAGGTGTCCTTGCAGGATTTTCTGCTCTGTCCTTCCAAAATTCCTCATCATAAGTATAAAATATATCTGTACTCATTATAATTCCAGCTGGTGATCATTAAACCTGCAAGCACACAGACTGTTAATGATAGGTGGAAGAACAAAACAATCAGTTATGAAGAGCATGAATTTACTGACATATCTTTGCTAAATGCTTAAAAATATCTCAACTTCAAAAATAAGAAAACAACCAATGCTAGTAGCAATTAATTCAAACTTTTTGGAGTTTATGCAGGATTGTAATTAGTTTCTATTTTTTATGCACGCTCACAGCCATGAAATAGTTATTTTTCTCTTCACCCTCGATGACTGAGAGCTACGGGTAAATCTGCAGGATGTTGAAGATAAACCTTTGTCGTGATCACTCGATACAAAGCATTTCTTATAAGATTCTGTGGGAATTTTAATGGTCTTAAACAGACTTTTTTGGTGAAAATAAAGCTGCAGCTCAACTGTCAGAACGTCTCATCTTTCATAATGTGCTGCCTTTTTATAT